GCTTTGTGGCCTCAGCAGGGGCTAGCATGCCTGCAGTTTTAATTCCGCTGTGGTTTAACACGTGCACGTGACATGAGTTTTGCTTTCAAGAACTTGGGGTGCAGTTTCCCCCAACCCCCTGCACCTATCTCCTTGAAACTTGGCAGACTTTGTTGCCCCAGCAAGAGCTACCATCCCTGCAGTTTTCACCCCACTGTGGCTTAACACACACGTGACATGAGTTTTGCTTTCAGGACTTTGAGGTGAAGTTTCCCAAAACCCCCTGCACCTATCACCTTGAAGCTTGGCATATATCATGCTCCCAGAAGAGGCTACCATCCCTGTAAGTTTCATCTGAATCAGCCAAAAGACAACAAAGTTATAGATATTTCATTGATTCCCCATTATACTCTATGGCCAAAGAGCCGAATCGGCTCCAAATCGGCTCCAAATCTTCCGAAGCGATTCAGCTGAATCGAATTGGGAAAATGATTTGGATCTCCAAATCAAATCTCTGGCATCTGAACTGGCTGAATCTGAATCAAATAGTTTCCTATTCGCACCAGCCTTGTTTGCACTGCTGCAAACCTGTGTGCCGCGCCGCAAACCGCACATGCCTTTGCCACACTGCTAATTTGCAGTGTGCCACAAACTTAATTTGCCACACTGCTAATTTGCAGTATAGTTGGGTTTTTTTTACCGGGAGATCCCAGTGCCAAGAAAACCTGCAGTAAAAAAAGTGGGGCTGTGCACATGATGGCAGCATGCACTGCTCAAAACTGGAGCCTGGCCAGCCAGAGCCATGCTCAGGCTGCCAGCCAGGCTACATGTGCTTGGATTGCTGCTGCTGGAGCCCCAAAAGGCCCCTAGGACTCCAGGTGAGGCTGCTGGGGCCAGCCCAGGTGCTGGCCTCAGCCTCCCCTATCCTACTTGGGGCACCCTAGGATCACAAAGAAATCCCAACCAAGGTCAGGGTCCCATTCTTACTAGTGTTGCATATGTACTTGAGGAACACTGTTCTGGCTCTGAAGATCAGAGGGAAAGCTGAGACAGAGAGGGGTGAAGTGACTTGCCAATATGTGACAAGGAAAATCAATGGCAAAGGCAGACCCTCAGCTTTTCTAGCTCTTGGTAAGATGCTTTATCCAGTAGGCCACAACATGTCTTGTCTGCTGACCTAACAAAGTATTAAGGTTTCCAGGAGGAAGATTACATCAATCATGGTATAAAGGCAGGTAATATTACAACACCCCAGTGGATGAACACAGTGCCTTTCAGAATCTAAACAGACATGTGGCCCCTAGCTTGGGTGTCAAACACACACAGAACCCAATCCAGTGTCAGAGAAGAGTCCCTGCCTCTGGCATTAATACTGAATTCTGTACTCCTAGGGCAAAAAGGTGAGAAAAATAATATTCCAGTAAATTATACAATATACAGAGCACAGTTTCTAAAGGCTTTTTGAGTCAGGGATTGACCTTTTGTTCTCTGTGCAGTGCCTAACACAGTGGGGACCTGGCCTGTGGCAAACTTAACCCCAGCCACTATACTGCAGAGTGTAATTCAGTCAGGTCATCTAAGCAGCGCAATGTGGAATGGTGTAAAGAGGATTATTTGCAGTGCTGGTGGTATTATGCTGCATTTTGTGTCCACACTAGCCCAGACCTACTTAAGACTGGCACACTGAGGTCTGCTTCATTATCAGCTTTGCCTAAATCACAAATCACATGTACCCTATGGACTACATATGCAGCATGGGGAGAAACTGGGGGGTGTTCTAGACCTGTTGGGACCCTGAGTGGCTAACCATACTTCTCAACTGCAGATAAGGTCCAAGATTGAACCATATTTAAAAGGAAAAGAGAATAGGTGGCAAGAGCATCAACAGTAGAAACTGTAAGGGTTATAACATTTTGCCTGCCTCTCTCTTTGATGCCTGACCTTCAAGTGGTATCTGATTCAGAAGGCTAGCTCCTGTTTGTCTTCTCAGCTTGTATGGAAGGTGCTGTGCTCATCTAAAGCTATGCATCAGAGCAGAGCACCAGCCTTTTCTGTTTAAGGGGTGATCTTTCTAAACATTAGAAATTGCTCTTGCTTGGTTGGATTATCTTGGATTTACTGTGTCTCATGAAGCAGCAGGGTAGGGTTAGCAATTCAGTTTGACAGTCATTGTGGCAGGTTGCCCAGGTACAGCCCTCTCCCCCTCTGACCCATACCACAGCTCTGATCACACCCCCATCTCATTCCTTAACATTTACCTCATTGAGTGCCTGCTGCCATTACCCCTCTGGGGAAGCCTTATTGAAAATATTATTACAGGAAGAATAAGGTTTTCTGCACAGGCATTTATTAGCTGTACTGCCATGTGCATGTCCAGGAAGCTTGCCTGAAGGGTTTTCAGCTAACGGATTTGCATATGAACTGGTTGACTCAAACCTTACCCCTCCAGTCAAAACCAGAGAATGGTCTGAAGACATGCTGCTATGATCTGCTTCTGTCAAAGGATCTTTTTCTTCTGAGTGCAGCAGTGATTCAGAAAGGACTCCATTATCTTTCTGAAACACAATACATTACACTTATGAATGCTTGCTGGGGTGGGGAGAGGATATAGGGAGAGGGGCTTGTGACTGGGGTGAGGGAAGAAGGACTGTATAGGGGAATGGGCTAAATAAGAATGGCTAGTAGGAGAAGGTGGAGGAATTGGGGAGGTTCAGGCCAAGGGGAGCAAGGAGAGAGATGGGTGGCAGGGTGAAGGGATACTAGGTGGGTGTCAGTTCAACAGACAGATTATTAGGAACAGGATCCTGTAAGCTCCACATCCTCCCTTCTCCTTCGTGTGCTGAGATCTCAGCATGGCTGACTGGAAGGTAATTGAATGCTTATCCTTGTCTTATACATACATAAGGCCTAAAAAACAATCTCACCCTATTCTCTTCTTCTGATGTGGGCACGTGTGGCTTGCCATAATGAACAGGAGCAGCCCTCCAGCCCTGCTATTCTGCCACTGGCAAGCAGCTAATGACTGCTGCCTCAGAAGGAAAACCCATGATACACCTGGCCAGATAGGCATTGCTGGGTATTACTGGGCTTGGGATTCCCCATGAGCTCTGGGGAATCAGTTGGTATTTTGGAACATGGAGGTATCATCCCCTCCATGTTGCAGTTTTATCATCCTGTCCCTTTAAGAACCCAAACCTTTTCTATGGAGTCTGACCTCTCCCGCATTCAGGTCACTCTAAAGCTAGATGCAGGTGACATTTGAGTGGGCCTTAAAGAGTGAGCCTGCCTGCATGTGGGGAGGTGGGAGGTAACACGCTACAGAGAATGCCAACTGCATCCCCCAGAGCATGGGAGATCTCAGGTGAAGCAAGTACCCCTGTGTGGGACAGATGGGACCTGGATCTCAAGTTGTTTACTTTGCTTGAAGAGAAACAAGTATGCATTGATGGATAAAACACTGGGCTTTTCTCTTTGGAGAGATTTCCTTTGCTGCTCCCCACACACATCCAAATAAAATGTATGCCTTGATTCCTGAAGACAGAATGTAGAAAAAAATATTTTTCCTGAGTCATGGGCAACTGTTATGTACAGTAAATCCACTTGGAAACCTAGTGTCCAAGAAGTGGGGCATTCAGAACAGCAACAAAGCTCAGACCCAGATTCTGCCAAAGATAGTAGAAAGACTGTTGCTTCCTTACTGTAAAGTTTTATATATAAGATTTCATAGATTTCATAGACATTAGGGGTGGAAGGGACCTCAGAAGATCATCGAGTCCGGCCCCCCGCCCAAATGCAGGAAGTCAGCTGGGGCCATAGTATCCCAGCAAGATAAGCACCCAATTTGCTCTTGAAGGTGTTTAATGTAGCTGCTTGAACCACCTCTGATGGCAGACTGTTCCAGACCTTGGGGGCTCGGACAGTAAAGAAACCCTTCCTTATGTCCAGCCTGAAA